ATTACAATAAATAATAAATATTAACATTTCATTTTATCCAGGCTCATCTATTTAATGATAGGGTGTTAAACATGCTTAAAATTAACTACTCTTCTATTTATATATTTATCAAAACATGCTAAATAAACTTATTTCAATCCTTTCACATTTTAACAAATTTTGAGAGAAATTAATTAAAGGGTAGTGGCCTGGCCAGTTGTTGGTAAATAGGCCATCCACTTATTCCGTATAAGTTATTATTTTAACTATTACTATTATAATTTTAGACTGACCCTAGACAGATCAAAAACTAAACCTACTAGAGACAATTTTTCTGAAGTAAATAATAATACAATTGAAAATTTTATAGATGCATTTTTTATATTTAAAGATACTCAAATAAATAATTTTTTCTTATCTAAAAAATATGTATTAATACTGCATTGCGTGTTAGTGTTGTGAGCGATTATATAGTAATTGCTTATCTTTTCTGATCACCGGTCTAAACTTGGGGAAGTATATATATGTTATTAGTATTGAGATGCTTCTAGATGAATTAGAAAAATCTCGGGGAAAAATATATCTCTCTTTATAAATTCAAATCAAAAAATTGCAATATGATTATATTAGTTTTAAAACATGATATTTATAATCAAATTTTTTCTTAAAATGAATTCTTAGTTATAACATTTATATGATTTTTGAATTAACTCATAAAATTTATTAATACTATTTTTAATCAAAGCACTGTGTATTATATTTTGATAATATCGTCATATTTTTTTATATTCCATTATTTGCATAAGAATTATTTATATTTTATGTAATTGTTAAATTACTCTTTTTTTAAAAAATAGAATTTTTATACAATAAAATTTTTAATATTATAATCTGTATAAAATATCTACATTTTGAAATTTATTTTAAATAATAAAAATAAATACATGATTAAATAAAGGCATGTTATTTATGCTAAAGTATTTTTATATAAAAAATAAAATCTATAATAAAATAAAATACTCTCTAAAATTTTGTTATATGATATTTAAAATAATTTTAACATAGCTTAAGATATAAGCAATTGAATGTTCATAAAAAATGGGAGGATTTTTTTGAGAAAATTATGGCTACGCCATTGTCCAAAATTAATTAGTATTCCTATTTTAAAAAGGAATAGGCATAGATATATGTATATGGCCTCTTACACTAAATATTTAATTATTGTATGTAGTTGATTATTTTGCCTATTTATGAGATTCAATATTAGTGTTGTTGGTTAGATATGAAAGTCATGTAGTAATATATTTGTGTTATATATTATATTTTATTTAATTGGTTTAGAACAATAACCAGGGCATGGTGTTCTGCAATGAAGTTATTAATAATTTTCTGATATATGCAAAGTTGATCAGCATATCACATGTGCTTATTACTCACACACAAGCTAATGACTTAAATTAGGAAAAAATAGAGATGTAGCCGAGCACCCCACCTAATGTCATGATGTTTGCTGAGTTTTATCTTGTAATTTAATATTTTTAAACATGATTTTATAATATTATGCCTAGCTTAATGCTTATTTGTGATATCATGCTTGTGATACCATGTTTGTTAAATATAGAAAACTTTATATTTTTATATTAAGGTCATTTTAACTTACGCTTATTTTAAAATAATTTTATTTTATTTAACCTTAAAACAAATTATTCTTTTCTTACTTTTGTAATAAAAAATGTTATATGTAAGAATCTTAAAATAATTTGTTCTTTTCTTACTTTAATATTTAACTTTAAAATAATTTGTTCTTTTCTTACTTTTGTAAAAAAATGTTATAATTGTAAAATAAAAAGTATATAAATCCGACCATTTTATTAGGATTTAGAAAATAAAAAATTTTAAATGTTTTTAATGAAGAATTGAAAAAGAATTAAATTTATCAAATTTGTTATATAATCATCTGCCTTCTATAAATTTTTATGTTGGCAGTGATTTTTTTTAGCTACTTTTAGAGAGATTTTGTAAAACTATAATTTGTTTTAATGAATTATTTTAATAAAAATGTTTTGAGTTTTGATAATAAAGAATTTTAGAAAAATAAAGTATTAAATATTCCTGCCTTCCTTAAATTTTTATTGTTTTATAATTAAATTGAAGACAATTAATCTAAAATAAAATAAATCTTTATTTAACTCAAATTTTGCAATAAAAATAAATTAGAACTTGTCACTAAACCCTGTTTTATCTTTTTTACACATATAAATAATTTTTTATTGTGCGTTTTTTAAGGAAATATATGATATCGCTAATATATATCAATATGATTATTCATGTATAAAATAAATTTTTTAGTATCATTGATTTTTACATATAGGTTTTGTAAGTTTTCATAAAAATTATAAGTTATGTACTGAATTCAATTAATTCTAATAAAAATCAATTATTGTCTATTTATTTGTTCATAATTAAAGCTGATAGCTCACATTTAAAAATGAATTTTAATTTTGATTACAATTTTTATAGAAAAAATGACCGCCAATGTTTGAAGCGACTAATTAATTACTAGCAATAAAATTAATCGCAGTCATTTTAATCCAAAACATTTATTTTTATTAAAAAAATGCCTACCATTTTGATACGAATATAACAACTCATTTCAATGCAGTCATTTAACAGCTACGACTATTGTAAAATGACTACCCGTTGTAAAATAATAGGAGTCGAAATTTAATAAAGTCAATTTTCAACGGTACACTGTCTGGTAATTTATTGACAGATATAATAAGAAAATGGAAGGAAAGTTGTCATTGTTAATTTCGTGAGAGTTGAGTACTTTATCGTTAATATGAATATTTCGAAGAGTCCCTGAGTGCAACGTCTACATGACAGGATTTTCACTGGATGCAAACCCCCATTCAAAAACATTTGCCTACCTCCCCCCCCCCTCCACTAAAAAATCCCCGCCGCTTTGGTGGCGGTGTTTTTTTATCATTATTTTCACTTATTTATTTATTGATACTCTTTTCAAAGAATTTGTAAAGGATTACTTAAATTAATCTATCTCTACTACCAACTATCGATATTTTGTAAATATAAAGAATTTATTTTTTAGATAATAAATTCAATTAAAACCTCCATTATTTGCAATGAATTAATTATTATGTCATTATGAGCTTGCTGAAATATTTAAACCATAGTTTATTTGGAAAACAATGTGTATGATTGTTTGCAATTTATAGATTTGGTCGACGAATTGTATTATAATAATACTATAATAAAAGTATTTAATTTTTACAGCAATAAATTTTGTCCTATTTCATCTCAAAATTTAATAGAAATTTATCCTACCCCCATTAAAGCAGCCTACCCCCTCAAAAAAATAGGATGCAAACTGTTCCTACCCCTCCCGCTCATGTAGACGCTGCCTGAGTGTGGTGTGACGATATCATAGTTATGTAGGAACTCTAATGAGATCCTTCAGGAGTTGGAAATTTGTCTAAGAATGTGATAACATTCGTATCGATTATGCTTATTGATAAAGAAGAAATTGGTAAGTTCCTTTGATTGCGGGTTGGAAAGAGAAAATGAATGATATGTGCAATTGGAGAGTTTCAGTCTTTTGGGGGGAAGCTAGAGTTAGAGTTGAATAACACATAATTTTTCCTGATATGTGCAATTATTGGAGAGTTTCAGTCTTTTTGGGGGAAGCTAGAGTTAGAGTTGAATAACACATAATTTTTCTTGTATAATGGATTAGAAAGATTAAAAAGTTATTTATTTTCTACCATTAAAAAGGTAGAAATCTTTAAAAAAAACAAATATGCTGGCCTCACCAACACTGTGTTCATACAAATAGTTACCAATACCTTAGTCATGTTTAGAAATGAGGCCTTCAATTTAATTAAAATCATAGGAAAAAAACAGATCTCAGGGGAACCCAATTAAGGATTTTGCTTCATTGGCAGTCCTGTCACGCTGTACATCTAAAATATATACAATTAAATAAATAATATTAAAAAATATTGATTTAAATCAAATTGAACATTTATATATACACTAATAAAAATTAACATTTAAAAAACAAATTAGTAAATATTAAAATTAAATTTAAAAAAAAATATATGTATAAATCTATAAAGAAAAACATTAAAAAACGAACTGAGAAAAAAAAATTATTTTTTAAAAAAAGTGCCTATCTCTCTAAAGAAGAGTGAAATCGAATTTCGACAATTTACATATTTAACATGGACATTCAAAATTATATCATCCCTTCCCCATAAAGTAAAAAATATTTACAAGATTCTCGGATATAGGCTTTTGGTTTACTCAACTTTTTTTAGCCAATGGACTTTTAAATGACAGTTTTCAGACTGTTATACGCACAATTATGTGCAAATTGCCCACAAAGGTGTAAATGGATCCTCATATATATTTTGCCCTAATTTAACTTATTCCAATTAGATGGAAAAAGGAACACCTAGTATATATCTGTTGAATTTTCCACTTTATAGGGCGATGCACCTAATCACATAATTTGATCATAATTGAAATATATTTTGATTGTACGAATTTATTGTAGGGTCATAGAAGTTAAATAATATATTTATTTAGGATGGAATAAGAATTCAATGGATATGATATATCAAATATTTAAAATATTATACCAAACAAAACGCATCTCAGAACTAAGCTCTCACGTTAACTTAGTTGCAAACTTATTAGGTTTTAATTCAGTAAAAATTGAATTTAACTTTCCAGACCCTATCAAATAAAAAAATTTCTCCTAAAGCGAGTATGAGCTTATTTTACTATATTTTTAATGCACATAATCGTTCATGAAGCCAGCCACTGCAACCTGCCCAAAAATTGCCCAGTTTAATGTCGAAGAATGACGAATAACGAAAAGTCAAAATACCTTTTGCCTTCAAGTTTTCTTGATGATGATGGACTTCGACAACCTGTTAAGGATTTCGATATTCTTCAAATTTACTTTATTTAGTTTTAGGTTTTATTTTACTTATCATATTGCCTCGTACATATGATAATCTCATAAAAAAGGCTATGTTAGGTATATATGATTTAGCGTATATCCTTATTAATTTTTTTTATTTGAACTTTAGAACATATTCTAGTTGCCTTAATAATTATTCAACCATGTGTATTTTCATTTATTAATAAACTGTATGAAAAAAGAAAATATCAATATCATCTCACTGATAGTTATATAAAACCTTTATACTTACAGAATATATTTTCAACAATCTATTTATTTTTAACCTTATTTATTTTAACTTTTATATTTTTTTTTGAAATATTATTAAAATATAAATATATAAGTTTTTCATTTATGTGGAAAACTCGAAATACAGCATCAAATATAAATAATAAATATTCTAAAGGTATTTGGTGCATATGTTTACCTATGTTAATATTTAATCCTCTTTGGTTTATAAAAGTCATAAATTATAATTTATTTTTAAAATGTTTTACTTACAGATATTTCATAGTTTTTAATACTTTTAGTTTATGTATGACCACCCTCCAAACCTTACTAATTACTCTTATAACCTTATATGGAATGTATAAACTATATTCCTTATTTGAAATATGTTATACTTACATGAATTTTAAAAACAATTGCAAATTATGGACCATTAAATTATTATCGATATGTAGTAATCAGAAGTCTAAAAAGAAGACAGAAACAGGAGATATAGCAGCCAATTTAAAATTTATATCAATAATGACTATATACTTCAGGTCTTGGCATTTTTCATTTATGCTGGCAAGTGCAATTTGGTGCATCAAATATGTAGCAATATCATTTATAGTATTTTTTATGATAATCCCTATAATAATTTGTATATTAATTCTTCTCTCAGCATTACTATATTTTGTGATGACCAACAAAAAACAATATGATATTTTTTGCAAAAAGATAATAAAGTTTATGCAAAGCAAAGTATTTAAACCATTTTTTATTGGCAAAAATATACTTCTCATATTCCGGACCACTCCAGATTTTCTTCCCTATTTTTCTATTGTTGTATTGATAAATACACTAGTAATTATCTGTACAATTGTGTTTGTATATAAAATTTTAACATATAACAAAAAAATAAAGACAGATAAAAATGATAACAATGCAAATGAGAAAATATTGTTCAAAATTGATATTAATAATTTTAATGAAATGTCAAAAAAGAATGGAAATTTTTTCACCTTATTCACATCTTGTTTTACCAATGGTGAATTTTTGATGCTCACAACTGGGCTGTATTCCTTCATGACATTGTGCCTGAATCATGTGACAACTCAGTTATTTTTGAAATTATATTTTAATCAACATATTATTTCAAAATTTTTGGCCCCCAGTGAAGATTTGCTATGTATGGCCTGGGTCCTTTTGCATCCAGTCATCTTAATTATGACTACATTTATGCTTGATCTAAATAACAATAAAAATACTCTAGTTTCATTGAATTATGATTTGAACAAAGATTATCCTAAAATTAAAAATTGGGCAAACATAACTCTCAAAAAATTCATGATAATATTTTCTGCTCAAACCATCGGATTCTTACTTTGTTTTCGCTATCTTTTTGGTCATAGTGTATTCTATTTTTTGATGAGTCTCATAAAACCGACCTCATCGTCAAAATATTCTTTTACATTCTACAATTTTTTATACCATTATAGGATGATATTGCTACTCATTTATTGGACTATTTTGGTAATCATATCATTCATTTTCTGTTTGTTGAAACCAAAATCCAAATTTTGCAATGAAGAACCCCATCTGATTTCAAGGAATAGCAAAATCTATACCGATGAATTGAATAAAACGTTGAAAGCTTATCACTCTTTCACACTCATAATCAATAGAAAATTTTTTCACCTTATAACTATATTTATCATAGCTCCAGGGATACTAATGAACCCAGCTTTGACTTGTGTATGTTCGGCCGCTGCTTTTGCCCTACTGTTAGAACTCGAACTATTCCGTTACATAGCTAAACAGTCTATTAAGACAATAGATCTTGCTGACGAAAACACCATTTTTAGACGTTTCGCGAATCTTTTTAAAACCTTTAACGAACGTTTCGAATCATTTAGGGATACGAAAGATCTTTCTAGCCCTTTAATTTTATCCCACATTTATTTACTGGTGGGCATGTGCTTACCATTCTGGATATCCTATTACCGGCGTTCTATGTTATTAATACTAATTCCAGAGTCAGTGAAGAATGCATCAGCACTAGAGAATAAATGGGGCATACCCACTTGGGCAGGTATAATATCGGTGGGTATCGGCGATTCCGCAGCTGCTATAGCCGGATCTTACTGTTCCTACCTTAAGGCGAAGTGGCTATCAACTTTTTATGAAAGGCCAAATTTGTTAGATAAACAACCTACAAAATATACTAAAGTTAATGGAGATTTAAAGATGAACTCCTCGAAAAATATTCTAGGCTATCATTTGGATCTACCTTTCAATACTAATCGAACGGGCAAAAGCGTCACGGGGTGTTTAGTGTCCTTTTTAGCTCAATCTATAGCCATTTATTGCTTGGTGCAAGCTTCTGGCTTCCCGAAATTTGACGTTCATTCCAATCAATCAGGTAGGATAGGCTGTAACTCTAGTCAAAAATATAGCGTCCGACATAATCCATTTAAAAAAGCTATAAAATATTGTCCCATTGGAAATTCGAATAAAGACTACGTCGAACCTTATCTTCAACCATTTTCGATAATCGGCACCGGACCTTTTTGGATCAAAATAACGATTTCTTTGATTTTGAATTCTTTTTTGGAAGGTTACACATCCCAAAATGACAACATAATTATACCCATTTGCACATTTTATTCTTTTTCACTTTTATAAGAAAAAACCCAGTGTCAATCACGGTAGATATATATATATATATATTGGACCATTCTCATAACCTATTGCAATTATCTTTATACGTTTTATACATCATATTTAAAAAAATTGTAATTTATGCATGTAGAGTTTCTATTTTTTACTTTCTTTCGAAAATCAATGTGTATTATAATGTATCTACTAAAATATTATTTAATAAATTATTCTAATTAATATCCCTCTTTTTGCGATTTATTTATTCTTATCTAGTAACAACTCAATTTAGATGTATATTTTTTAAAAGAAAGATTATTTTTTAAAAATTTAACGCGATGGTATCTGTCTAGTTATGAAGAGAAGTAGATTTTGTTTCATTTCTATTAAAATATCTTTAAATATATAACTCTACCTTCCATAAAGATTGAAGGATGTTTTAAAAAGGGGGAAAAATAGCTAAATATTTTTTTTATATAGTACCTAACACTTCAAAACATTTCGTTAGTAATAAAAAAATTCAGGAACATATTGAACAACAACAATCATGTGATTCTTTTGGAATATTTAATATTATATTTTAAATGTCAAATAAATTAACATTAATTTTGAAAAATGATTAAAATAAAAATGGAAAACAAAATATTATTAAATGTGTCCGAGATCTACCAAGGGCATGGCCCGGTCCTTATTATTTTAAATAATTATTTTTTAGGCCTGGCGTGGGTGTTACCCTTTATTAAGGCCCGGGATTTGAAAAAAATATTTCAGTCTGGGTTTTAAAAAATATATTCGGCATTTTACTGTCGTATTGGGATATGGAATTTATGGGAATTCGGAATCTTTGGATTTTAATTTATTCGCTGAGAGCACTTTTAAAAATTATAAAAACCTTATTTGACCTGAAATGTATTTCAGTATGTATAGAATACCCACACTGTGAATTCAAAAAATTTTGCCGCGAACTTTAGAAACTCTTAATTTATAGCGATTTATATATATTTTTTTTCATAGAAATTTAAAAAAAATAAACAAAACAAAATTCTTAGGGTAGGTACTCTACACATGCTGGAACACATTTTTCGGAAATCAGATTTAAAAATATTTAAAATCGCCCTCGGCAAATGATTTAAAATCGAGAGATTCAGAATCACCACAACCTTCATGGGTCTGGGTTTTTTAATCAGGCCTCGCCGTGCCGGAGTAAAAAAAAATTTGTATAGCCATATTTAATATTATAAAAAAATTATCAAGCCGATAATAAGTTTCAAAAGCCCGGCACAAGCCCATATCCAAAAATATAATTTTTTGTATACAATGAAAATAAACAATTTTCAGGGTATTTTTAGGCAATCAATTTTTTTGCTATACTGTTTGTGGTTATTAGAAGAAAAGATTGCAATATTTTTTTCAATTAGCAACTGTTTTAAATAAGCAATATTTAAATGAAAAAATTGGCCCAAGCCCATTAATTTTTCTTTAAAAGATTCAGACTCGGCCTCGGCCCGCTGGAAAATTTGGGCCGGCCCGCTCCACGAAGGTTTTAAATCTCATCGAGTTGTGAAATATTTGGGTTTTAATGGTTTATAGGGGAAAAAATTTAAGCCTTGCCGTGGTGATATAAAAATTTTTTTAGGTCCGGCCTCTCCAAACAGGGTAGAGGATGTAGCTCCTTCTAAACCCCCCACTTTATTCTAAAATATGGGCTACCCTTATGCAAAACTTTAACTCAATTTGGGGTACTGTTAGAATTCGAATAATTTATAATAATCAAGTGACCATATTCTTCTTAGTAAAGCTTATGCTATTGGAGCTCGAAAAACTATGGTTTCTATGAATTACATATAGTTTATATCAAATTTCTTGAGTTATTTTTTAAAATATGTAAAAACATATTTTAACATTTGAAAAATATTCGGTGTTTGTTGTTTATATTGTAGAAAATTTGTTAAGAATCGTTCCAGGCTTGTTACATAATATTATTTTAAATACTAAAGATTATTTGAGTAAATAAAAAAAATTGGAATAACCCTACCGTGGAAATGAGCTTTTCTTATATATAGATCCAGTATTATTAATAAAGAATTAAATTATCGATATGCTTAATTTTTTTTTCACACCAAATATTTGCGGGAATTATGGCTTGCAATAAGTCCATGGCAAATTTTCCGAAATACATTTAATATGCTAAATATTTTCTTTCATCCTGATTTGTCATGATGCCTAAGCGACATATTGTTTTGCTCACTTTGCGCCTTTATTTATCATTATTATTTTGTTGCCGATTTGTCGTGCGCTTAACTAACTAGTGGCATGCGCCGTAGTAATATGCAAAAGCATTCGACTTGGTGGTCAGATTGGTCTGACTCAAACAGATTATGAAAAAACTAGAATAAAAAAAATGTTATTAAAGAAATTTTTTCCTTTTTTACGTTAAACTATTAAAATTCTAAAAGGGATTAAATTTAAGATGTACACCCGAAGAAGTTATGAGTAGCTTGTTAAAGTAAATAGTTTCTAATTATATTTTTGGATTGAACGAATAAAGAACTATATTAACTAGTTATATATACAGGTTTTCAGTGGTGTATTTTCTTAAAAGCTTTTTATTTATACATATTTAGCCTAATAAGCATTAAAGTATGAAATATTTTCTCATTTATTATATAATTTGAATATGGTCTATTAAATTTTATTTTTCGACACTTCTATGCAAAACGATAATTTGATAATTAGCTAATGCTCATTCATTATTAAATTTTGTAATCTACTATTACAATTTCTAATTAACTATTATATTTGCTTATTATATAATTTGAGTATTTATTAAAAAATTAGGTCCTTATCCTTTGGCACTTTTTGGCCAAATGGCATTTTGATAATTTGTTAGTATATAATTTGAGTATTTATTAAAAAATTAGGTCCTTATCCTTTGGCACTTTTTGGCCAAATGGCATTTTGATAATTTGTTAGTATATTTTTGGTCATTCTCTATCAAATTTACTATAACATTTGCTGATTTATTATATAATGTTAGTATTTGCTATTTAATTAGGTCCTTTTTTCATTTTTAGGCTAAACTGTATTTTGCTAATTAGATAGTATTTTTGCTCATTTATTATTAAATTTTTTTTTATTAAATTATGTCTTGGCATTTTTAGGCGAGAGGCATTTTGCTAGCTATTATATTTTCTAATTTACTATTATATTTTCAATTTTGTTATTACATTTGCTCTTTTATTATATAGTTTGAGTATTTGCTATTCATTTATTATGTAATTTGAATATTTGCTATTAAATTGATTCATTTGATCTTAGCGGAAACGCATTTTGATAATTAGCTAATTTATATTAAATTTTCTTGTTTCCTATAAAATTTACTCATTAATTATATAATTTGGGAATTTGCTCTTTTGGCACTTTTAGGCGAAACGACATTTTGATAATTTGTTGTTACTTTTGCTAATTTATTATTAAACTTAATTCACTATTAAAATATTTACTATATAATTTTGGAATTTTCTATTGAATTACTATATAATTTGAATATTTGCTATTAGATTTGCTCTTTTAGGCGAAATGACTTTTTGCTAATTAGTACTTTTGTACATATATTAATAAATTTTATAATTGACTTATGTAATTGCTTATTTATTATATAATTTGGGTATTTGATATTCAATTTGCTCTTTTGGCAGTTTTAGGAATGGCTATAGGCAAAGCGCTGGTATACCAATTTTTTAAATATCAAAAAATATGATATATATAAAATCGATTTTTTTTTTAAAGTACGAATATGAATAAGTTCTTTATTTATATTATATTTTAAAAACATTCAAATATAATACGACCAATATCCAGAGTTGGGCAGTACCGCGAATACTTCTCTCTAAGATACAAGATTTTGTATCTTGTACTCAGTATCTTATTGACATTTTTAATAAGATACTAGTATCTGTATCTAAGATCCTTTATTTTGAAAAGAATCTTGTATCTTTTTCATTTTCTTTAAAAAGATACAGACACAGATTCTTTATGTTTAAAGCATTTACATATCACACAATGTAACTTTATTTTCTTCGTAAAATCTTGTATTATTTTCTTTATTTTTTCCTGCTATATTTTAAATATATTGTTAACCAAATTTAGTTGGAACTTTTACAGATCACAAAGATAGATAGATTAAAAATAACAACTTCAAAACAAAATAAGTAAAGGTTATATTTTATATGTAATATTTTTTAATTTGTATAATATTTAACATTTATAGTAGTTAAGATGAAATTATAGAGATAGGTTCTCATGAATCAAATCCGAAATTTAAAATTCTAGATGGAAAATTTTATAAAGTAATTTATGTGAAAAAGGACAAGGTACAAGCCGAGTCAAAATTGCACATGTAAAAAAGTTATTAAAGGTTGAACAAACTCCTCTACAAACTTCGTTAAACATATTAAAGTATAGTATACATTTTTATTTTTGTTAATTAGATAATTTTTTGAATATAAAAAATTTTATATTTTTCTTTCTTTTACTTTTGTAAAATAAATTAAATGACCTATTCGTAAATTTTCTTTCACTTTTTATAAAATATAAGGACGAACTTGTCGAAATTCTTTTTTTATATAACCTTTTAAAAAAACTTATTATTTCAATATGTAAAAAATTGTAAAGTTCAAAATATATATAAAGAACACAAAATGTTAAATAGTTTAGTTTCTAAAGTATTAATAAAAAATAAAATAAAAATTTAATTATTTTTTGTATTTTTTTTTGAGCCTTCCATTGAAATTAAAAATTTTATAATTATTAACATAATAATACCTATACTTAGACCTGTGCGCCGGCCGGCCGTTGGCCGGCCACTGACCTTTTTTGATTACGCCGAAAACGCCGCCGTTTAAAAAAATCACGCCTGCGCGCCGCCGATTTTTATATCGGCGGCGCAGGGCCGGCGCAGAAATTACTTTCATATTTTATACCTTTTTATTCTAATAATTGGTCAACATAACTATTGTAATTTTTTTAATGTCAATCAGGATTTTGATGAATTTTTATTTTCTACTATTTTAAAATCATAATTATATTGACGTCATTATAGAATTCAATCAATCAAAAATCTAAAAATTCTAAAAAAGTATTATCCTAACTCTGGATA